CTTTGTAATAAAGTAAGCTGTCGCAATTTGTAATAAACTGGAAATTGACAGTCGGAGGACAGGTAAACCCAAAAATAGGTTTCATCAAAGAGAACAACAACAGCAACAACAACAACAACAATAATAATAATAATACAAAAAGTGCAAATAGTGGCAAGGAAAGTTATTCCGTTTCAGTTGGGAAGATGAGAGCCTAAGCATAACCAGCTGCTATGCATGGTTAAAAGGTTGGGCTACGGATCGACTTGCGACTAGTCAGCCACGAGAGGAAAAAAGTCTGCACACTTGAAATAAGCTGCCATGGATTGAGAGTAGAGCCAAGAAAGAGGAGGAAAAGACACTCAAGTATAAGCCCATGATGTAGGAGCTGAAGCAGAGATACAATGGTTGCAGGGTTGAACAGTAGAACGTAATAATTGACGTACTGGGTGGTTACTCTAAACAACTAGAGAAGTCGGTGAGGAAGCTACTACAAGCGAGAGCACGGGGCGTACTTGAGCGGATGCAGAGGTCGGTCATCTCAAACGTAACACTTTGAACATGATTGTCAGAACATTGGCTAAAAGCACAGTCGCATAATTCACCATAACCAGCTACTGATGACTAAATCTGTACAGTCGCTCCCAAAAGATATTGTGAAAAACTGTGTTGAATGCTGCGCTAAGATCCAAGAGGACCATCAGGGTTACAAGCTACGAGTTCATTTTCAAGAGGACGTCGTTCATGACTTTTAGTAAGGTCGTTTCAGTGCTGTGATGTTGACGATAAGACGATTGCAGACCAGGACAGATTTCATTGACGACCATGTGCTCGTGTGTTTGACTAAATACAGCCTTTACTGCGAGCTTAGAGATGTACTGCAGATTGCTGACTGGTCTAAAACTCTGAAAAACCAAGTCAAGTCCAAGCTTCTTCAGCAAAGGATGAACTAACGCACACTTCCATTGATCAGCAAATGCGCCCCTCTGTAGAGAGAGATTAATGACCTTGGTGATAACAGGCAACAGAATATCAATGCAGCCGACAACAAGAGACGTGGGCATTGAGTCAAGCGAGCAGGATTTCTTAGGCGTGGCTTCAATGAGCTTTAGGACTTCTGACTCATTCGATAGTCTGAAACTATCCATAGGTTGCACAACAGGTGAGTCCGCTAAACACTTCTCTTTGCCAGGCGACACTGTCGTAGCCATGTTATCAAGCTTGTTTTGTATGACCACAATCTTCTGAGCGAAAAAATCACCAAACTTATTATTTTATTAAGTACAACCTTGTCCTTAAAAGGAACACATTGAGTATCTCGCTCCACGTCAAGCAGTCTATTCGTTACAGAGAAAATTTTCTTCTGGTCGCCACTGCTGTCGTCAATCGGGTCTTTGTAAAACACCTTCCGTGCAACATTCATCAGGTTGTTTGATTGGTTTCTGAGATCCTTGAACGCTCGTAAATCGGCCGCCAGACCTGTGCGGCGCCATCTCCCCTCCGCCTTACGCCTTTGTCTGCTCGTCACCTTTATATCGTCATTGAACTATGCCAGCAGAGGCCGAGATGGGAAAGTCATGGTTACGAGTGGAGCATGACCGTCAAGAGCAGACGACCGCGACCGTTGGCAGTTCAAAACCACAACCCTGCCCCGCACGGGGATGTTTGTTTGGTCACCATACACGGATTGGTGGATTTGAATCGACGCGCATACCTCAAATGCCTTTGGTTGAGATTTTTTGCACCGGTCATGTTGAGAAAGCTGGTCTTGCAACTTCAGGATCGCTTTTCTAGAGAAATTTTGGAAGGATCGAGCTCTCATTCGGATGGGGCATGGATACATATCTAGTGGATCGGGAGCCGGTATTTTCGAGGTACGAAATTAAATAGTTTGGCTTCAGTTCCACCTTAAATTGGACTCAGTCACGCGCCGGCGGCTGATTGCTGCCTGCCTTGTCTCCTTCTTTAGTTCTAACCGCCGAGATCAAATATTCATCTGGAAAAATAGCGCTTAAAACAGTACGGGAAGGCGAGACATGACTCAGTTAACATTTTCTTCAAACTTTTATTGAAAAATGTGCTTTAAATTCTGCCTTTTGGAATAAATAATAGCCACGCTATTGTTCATATGTATTTCTTCTATAAATAACAAAAGATCGTTGCTCAGATTTCAATCAACAACGGCCCCCACTAACAGAGGGTGATCTGCCTGTGCTGACACAACGAACGACAAAACCGTCTTTTACAGGCTACATTCTACAGGTCACTGTTTTATTCATAGGTAACTAAATAAAATAGTTTCCCCGCGATCACAAATATTATTTTGGATAGGAATTAGGGCAAGGAGACACTTCTGGTGCTGTTTATTTATCTGTAGTTTTGACCTGTAAAATATGCCTGCCGCAAAACCACGACACTGAGGTACACACACGCACGGTGACAGACACTCATGATCATTACAATCAAATTTATATAAAAGGCCGAAACATTCAAAGTAATTCTTCAAAGAGCGATGTTTCAAAAACCAGTAGCGTGACATCTGTGACTTTTGCCGCTTGTGCTTACAATTTAAAGAGTGGTCAAAATATCGAACCTAAACTATCTACTATCAGTTGGAGACATTCAGGTTTGATAAAACTGGTGGCTGTGAACACAGAAAGGCAAATATTAACAAGTATACGGGAATATTTAATTTTGATATATTTTCTCCTCTGTCAACTTTGAATTTATCGTTACTCTTACTTGAATGGAAATATATGAAATGAATTACATTTTCATTACCCTTACTTTAGATGAAGTGAAGAGATCTTTTCAAATAAACTATAAAAACACTTATTGCTGCGGAGCGACCGAAGGAAGCGAGCAGCAACATAATCAGGATTTAAAGAAAATATATAAGGGGCGACGAATTCTCGAATTCATCACTTTTTACCACAATGCATTGCATTTAACCAGAGTGCATTGCGCCACGAACAACTCAAATAAAAACACGGGGAAGTTCGGTGGGTGCATCGTTCGCTGTTCAGACTTAGAGTTTTCTTTGTGGCAAATTTTCTACAGCACGGTTAGAGGTCTTACCAAATTTTAAGACACGCAGGAGTCTTTCAGATGAGTACGATGGTTAACTTGGAGATTGGATTTCAATTCAAGAGCCTTTTTTGCTCTTCGACTCCGCAACACGGGGGATATACAAATTCCAGCTTGCTCGAAAGTGATGTGAAAGTGAGAAAATGTCATGCAATGCTATTCTTAAGAAACTGTATGAGCCGAAAATGGATGTGATTTTGACCATTCGCTTCAAAATAACAGCGGAAATCGAGATAACAAAACATATGTTTTGTGTCCTACTTTGCAGACGAGGAGGAGTATCGGCGTTTTGAAAAGCATAATTATGTTCTTTCATTCATTTATTGCCATGGAATATGCGTTTACATTGTTTTTTCACTGTTAATAGCTCGGTTAATGCGGCTGGCGATCATCTTGCCGGCGGAAGTTTCATGGAAAAGGAATAAAATGAAAGACTTTTCCTAGATACTACGTAATCAGTCTCTACTGAGTTATTTATTCCTTCTTTCTTTTTTTCCCCGTTTTTTGTGTTGTTGTTTTCTATAAATATATAGCTAAATAGCTGTTGCTTAATAAAGTGCAACAAACAGCAAGAAAAGTATTGTGTTTCCAGAGAAAATATCGTGCACCGTATATTAAATATATGGATAAACGATCTGAATTTCTATTATTTCCTACAATTTACTGTGGGAAAACCAGAGTTGATAACCGCATGATCATTTTCCAAACAACGTTCCCACGAGTTCTTTCTATAGACTGATGGTAATTATTCTAGTACTTTCCAACATGTAAATAGGACATTCAATGTCATTTTTGATTCTTTTAAGTCTCACTGCCTAACTAATGCCGGTATCAACAGAATGTGCCGCAGCATTACTATCTTTTAGATACCCTAGTATACTTTAAATACTGATCTGGGAGATGCAGTTGGGTAATCCCAAACGAGGTCGCGCTCGCTCAT